GCCCAGCAGGTCGAGGCTGTGGTGGCCAGGAGCAGCCACTGCACTCCAGTCTGGGCGACAAAGTGAGACCACAACTCAAAAAAAACCCAAAAACAAAACAATTAGCCGGGCATGGTGGTGCGTGCCTGTAGTTCCAGCTACTTGGGAGGCTGAGGCAGAAGGATCTCCTGAGCCCAGCAGGTTGAGGCTGCGGTGGCCATGGGTGTACCACTGCACTCTAGTCTGGGCGACAGAGTGAGACTCCAACACAAAAGAAAAGAAATAAAAATCGACTGGGCATGGTGACTCATGACTACAATCCCAGCACTTTGGGAGGCCAAGTTGAGAGTATTGCCTGAGCCCATGGGTTCGAGATGAGACCTCATCTCTACAATAAATAAATTAGCCATGCATGGTGGTGTGTGCCTGCAGTTCCAGCTACTTGGAATGCTGAGGCAGAAGAATTGCCAGAATCCAGCAGGTCGAGGCTGCAGTGGCCATGAGTGTGCGACTGCACTCCAGCCTGGGTGACACAGTGAGACTGTAACTCAAAAAAAAAAAAAAAAAAAATTCCACGAGTGTAGGCTGCCGTCATCTCTCTCCCAGCGGCTGTGCCGCTTCCTAACGGATTCCCTGCATCCATTCTCACTCCCTCCAACCCTGAATGCATCAGCCAGGGCCATCTTCTGGCTCCGTCTCATCCTGTCTGTCTGTCTCTCTCCAGTATATCTAGTAGAGATGAGATCTCACTATGTTGCCCAGGCTGTCTTGAACACCTGGGCTCAAGCCATCCTCCCGCCTCGACCTCCCAAAGAGCTGAGATTCCAGGTATGAGCCACCACATCTGGTCACTGTCTCTCTCAATCTCATACGTGCGCGCACACACACGCACACACGCGCACACACGCACACGGGGTTAAGATATTTCCGTGGCTCCCGGTTCATTCCTCCCTGTAAGAGCTCTCTGAGGGTGTCTGAGGTCCAGCCTCTATCCACGTTCCGTCACCCTACACCACCTTTGCCTCTGCTCCCGGCTCCAGCCTCAATGACCTCCTCGTCCTCTCTGTCCTCTGTAAAGGGCTGCCTCCCTTTGTGGAGCCGGGTTTCTCTGCCTCGAACCCTCTTCCTTCCTTCCCTTTGCCGGAACTGCTCCTGCTCGCCATCGGGCCTCAGCTACAACGGAGCGTCTCTAGGACACCTTCCCTTAGCTCCTGGCCAGGTCAAACACCTCCATGGAAGTGACTCTCTTGTAACTGGGCACCCCTGAGCCACAGCTGAAGTTTAACTTTTGTTTGCGGAGAATATCAGTTTCATGTCCACGAAGGCGAGGACCCTGTCTGCTTTTGCCCACTGCTCCACCTGGTACACAGTGTCAGGTGTGCAGAGGTGCTCCATGCATTTTTTGCTAATTGATGAAATCACTCTAGCGCATGGGTTCACAGATGCAGATCTCGGTAGGGGGGCGCTGGTGTAACTGGAAGGCGCTGCTCCATGGGGAGCTGTCAGGCCGGGAGATGGATAGGGCTGGATACCCAGACGCCAGAGAGCCTCACACGCTACTCTGCAGGCCAGGCTCTGGCCCTGAGGACCAGAGAATTTGATCTGATCGTGAGGAGGGAGAGACAAGGGCAGGGGGGCTGAGTGGGCTGGTCCAGGAGCCGTCGTCTCTGTCTCCCATCAATCTCCTGCCTGGAGCCACCAGAGCCTGGCCAGGCCTGGGATGTGCTGAACCAGCATTTGCACTCACCTGGGCCAACATACCGTCTCGTGGCTACAAATGATTACAGCACAGAATATAAATGTGAGCATGGAATGTTTAAGATGCTACTTTGTGGCCGGGCACGGTAGCTCATGCCTGTAATTCCAGCACTTTGGGGGATCAAGGCGAGAGGATTGCCTGAGCCCAGGGGCTCGAGACCAGCCTGCGCAACTTGAGACCTCATCTCAACAATAAATCAAAAAATTAGTGGGGCTTGGTGGTGCGCACCTATAGTTCCAGCTACTTGGAAGGCTAAGGTGGACCTGAGCCCGGCGGGTTGAGGTTGCGGTAGCTGTGAGTGTGCCACTGCACTAGAGCTTGGACACCAAGAGTGAGACCCCAACTCAAAAAAAGAAAAAAGAAGCAACTTTGAGGCTGGGTGTGGTGGCTCATGCCTATAATCCCAGCACTTTGGGAGGCTGAGGCAGGAAGATTGCTTGAGCCCAGGAGTTCACAACCAGCTTGGGTAACCTAGTGAGATCTCGTCTCTTCCAAAAATTAGCCAGGAATGGTGGCACACACCTGTAGTCTCATCTACTCAGGAGGCCGTGGAGGGAGGATCACTTGAGCCCAGGAGCTTGAGGCTATGGTGAGCTGTAATTGTGCCACTGTACTCCAGCCTGGGTGACTAAATGAGACCCCATCTCAAAAAAGAAAGAAAAAAGAAAAGAAAAAGAAACAACTTTGAGCCAAGAGCCGGAGATGTGGACACAGAGCATTTGCAAACCTTGTATCTCACAAAAGTTCAACGTCGCCGGAAGGGAACCTCAGGCCACTGTATTCCAGCCCAAATTCTCGTTTCTAACAGCCCCCAAAGGAGCACTAGGTGGTACAGCCTTGTGGCAGAACTCTGGCACCGAAGCCTACGGGCTCAGGTCAAGCCTGCAGAGCAAAAACATGGCTTAGAAAGGTGCATCTAGCTGCCTTTCCACACACACCCTCACACACACTCCAGCCTCCCTGGGCAAGCTGGCCTGTCCCCTGGGCTCCAGCCCACAGGCACCCAAGATGTCTTCTCTGACCCGCCTGAATGAACTCCCGACAGTCAATCAGTGTCACGGCCCCTCACACGCAGACTCATTGTCTCATGGAACCACAAGAGGCCTGCACACCAGGAAAGAAAATCTTTGGGGGTCCCGCCTGCATTTCCTAGTGTATACCAGTGTGTGGAAATGACACAGAAGGACAGAACCTGCATTTCTTCCCCCACCCATTGTCTGCTCTGTGGCCCTTTGTGTAAGTGTGTGTGTGTGTGTGTGTGTGTGTGTGTGTGTGTGTGTGTGTGTGTGTGTGTGTGTGTATGTCCAGAAGGTGAGGCCAAAAGGGGGTGGCTGCACCTCCCTGACTCTTGAACAACTCCAAGATGGGCTACATCACACAAGATAAGGTAGAGGGAGGGAACCTGTGTTTTTGTGGTTGTTTTTAAGTCAGGGTCTCACTCTGTTGCCCAGACTGGAGTGCAGCGGCATGATCCTGGTTCACTGCAGCCTTGACTCAGGTGATCCTTCCGCCTCAGCCTCCCGAGTAGCTGGGACTACAGGAACATGCCACCACGCCTGGCTAATTTTTACATTTTTTTTTGTAGAGATGAGGTCTCACGATATTGCCCAGGCTGGTCTGGAACTCCTGGGCTCAAGCAACCCTCCCGCCTCGGCCTCCCAAAGTGCTGGGATTACAGGCTTCAGCCACTGCGCCCGGCCAATCTATGCTTTTTAACAAAAGGCAGCATTTCTGGCTTCCTGGGGAAGAACCCTGCACTGTATTCAGAAAAGCTACTTGTCTCCTCAGCAACTCTTGGCTTAAGTGTTATTTGTGCCTGTTTCTCCCCATCAAGGGGCAGTCCCCTCTTTGTCCTACCCTCCGAGAGCAAGGGCTTCGCCTGTTTCTAAGCTCTCTCGCCATCTCGCCCATCCACGCCAGGAGGGAATTCCTCATTCTAAAAGGGATCCAGCTTTCTCCTCCCCTCCGCAGCCGACCCTCTTCCCTCCCTGCCATCAGCTTGATCAACCTGCCACCATCTCCCTTGTCTCAGTGCCTCCTCTTCCCACTTCCTGTGCTCCCTTGTCTCTATGAAACCCCAAGGAGTTGACCGAGGGGAACAGGAAGATGTGGGAGGGTCTGCCTGTTCTCTGGTTGGGGGATGAGAGAGAGTGGAGATGGGGGGGGGCTGGCACCTCTCTGGGTGCAGGGCAGTGTGGGGCAGAGACCCTACTCGGAGTGTGTGTCTCAAAACCACTCTCAGCTCTCTGGAGGGTTTACTGGGAAAGAGAATTCATCTGGATGAATTCAGAGCCTGGGAGGTGGCAGAGGCCAGTCCTTAGGACAGGGTTCACAGAAGAAAGTGTTACCCCCACCCCACCCCAAGAGAGGCTCAGGAAGCTGAATGGTACCACTGAGACAGGACGCCAGGCAGTCCTCCCCGCCTAGGTCCTGAAGGGTCACAAACTCACCCCACAAAGTAGGAGATGATCAGAAGCTGAACCACTCGGTTGATGATGCCGATGGTCCAGCTCTTCACAACCACCGACTTGGTGGTTTCGTAGGTGAAGAAGTCGGATATGCAGTTCATGCTGAAAGATTGTTCCGGGGCCACTCAGGAGGGGCCCAGTGGCAGTCTTGGGAGAAAGGAGGGCACAGCCTGGCAGCTTAGAGGGGCTTGAGGAATGGGGAGCCTGTTCCTTGAAGCCAGGCAACCCTAGTCCATGTCCAGGCTCTCTGCTCTTGACACTCTAGCTGCCCAGGGCTAGGGCGGGGGAGCCCCTTTTTGTTCGTCCCCACCCCACTCCCTGTGATGTCACAGCAGGGGTGGGGTCTCCAATTCTGGGCTCCTGATTGCCTGGGATGTAGCTGACTGGGGCCCTTTGGGACTCATGTTTTATCTGCACTCTGTCTACAGTTTCTGTTCCGTTCTCATCTGCGGCATCCTCATCCCAGCTCACCAGCTGCTCAGGCTTGTCCCAAAGCCCCTTGCAGTATCCCATCCCCCAGTCCCTTAATGGCCGGCCTGAGCTGAGGGACCCCCTCATTCCTGAGTGTCTGCCAAATGTCACCCAATTCTGCAGCCATCGTCTCCCTTCCTGAGTTGCCCCCAGTGGCACAGGTCAGGGGGAGGGGAGTCTTTTGAATGTTTTTCTATGTCTACTGGTAGGGGATGAAAAAAGAATCACATATTTTTAACTCTGGTTGGCAATGACAAGCTCTACCTGTAGTGTACCGGTTGCCACATTTTAAAAAATTGTCAGTTTAGTTATCCAAATCATTTGTGAGATTATGTTTTCCTGGAAGGCTGGGGCTGTTTTCATCTTGTTCACTAGTTTCCTCAAATCCTAGAAGTGTGTTGGATTAAAAATAGTCCTTTGATACATACATTTTTTTATTATTATTTATTTATTTATTTATTTGAGTTGGAGTCTCACTCCGTCGCCCAGACTGGAGTGCAGTGGCCACTCCCGGCCACCACAACCTCGACCTGTTGGACTCTGGTGATCCTTCCGCCTCAGCCTTCCAAGTAGCTGGAACTACAGATGTGTGCTACCACGCCGGCTAATTTTTGATTTATTGTAGAGATGAGGTCTTGCCAAGTTGCCCAGGTGGGTCTTGAACCCACAGGCTCAGGTAATCCACTCACCTCAGCCTCCCAAAGCGTGGGATTACAGGCTGAGCCACTGAGCCAGGTGATACATATTTATTAAATCCAACTAAATTTATATTGCTAGATAGTGCTGGAACAGTCATTACCCAGAAGTTAAAGCTGTGAATTCAGGGCTGCGTGCGGTGGCTCACACCTATAATTCCAGCATTTTGGTAGGCCGAGGTGAGAGGATTGCCTGAGTCCAGGGGTTCAAGACCAGCCTGGGCAACTTGGTGAGACCTCATCTCTACAATAAATCAAAAATTAGCTGGACGTGGTGGTGTGCACCTGTAGTACCAGCTACTTGGAAGGCTGAGATGGAAGGATCACCTGAGCCCAGCAGGTTGAGGCTGAGGTGGCTGTGAGTGTGAAACTCCAATAAAAAAAAAAGAAAAAGCTATGAGTTCAAGGGGGTGTGTATTTCTGCTGTCTCTCATCACAGAATTGAGTTGGTAAACAGGTATAATGACTGCCAGAGAAATCTTGAGTTTAAATATGTGGTCCTACGGCCGGGTTCAGTGGCTCAGCCTGTAATCCCAGCACTTTGGGAGGCTGAGGTGAGTGGACTGCCTGAGTCCGCGGGTTCGAGACCTGCCTGGGCAACTTGGCGAGACCTCATCTCTACAATAAATCAAAAAATTAGCCGGGCGTGGTAGCGCGTGCCTGTAGTTCCAGCTACTTGGAAGGCTGAGGCGGAAGGATCGCCGGAGCCCAGCAGGTCGGGGCTGCAGTGGCTGGGAGCGGCCACTGCACTCCAGTCTGGGTGACAGAGTGAGACTCCAACTCAAAAAAAAAAAAAAAAAATGTGGTCCTAATGTCTTTGTTCAGGACACATATTATCAATCATTCTGAACACAGTCACTGTATGACAGAGAAGAATAGGACTGGTTAAGGAGGTCTGGGTTCCAGTCTCCAGCTTTGTGGCCAACCCACTGAGATCCTAGGCAACTCCTCTTTGGCCACAGTTTTCCCGCCAGCAAAAGGAGATCGAGTGGAAAAACTCAAACATCTCTTCCAGGTCTGGCCTCTAATTTTGCAAGATGCACCCTGGGACTACAGGGGGGAGAGGCCTGGCTGCGCCATCCCAGGATAACGTGGTTTCAAATCAGTTCTGGCTCCAAGGTGAACCTGACACCAGTACTTGAACTTGATGCTGCCATTTGCAGCCTCTTCCGGGGAACCCATAGATTGCGGTTACGGATGTGAAGATTTTGGGCGTCGTCGGTGAACTCATTTCAAAAAGGACCCAAGTCCACTTGACCGAGGACAGCGAGACAGCAGTACAGCCACAATGACAGCAACACCGCAATCTCTTCGCAGCCAGTGGGAGGGGTCATTTGTCTCCACAACTCTTTAAATATTTTTCTTGTTCTACAGCTCCTTTCCACGCCACAGAAACTATTTTGCAGGAGGGAGGAGCACGCATCATTCCGATACCCCCCCACCCCGTAGAAAGTCTGGTACAATAAAATTACACAATTTCCCGTTAGAATCCAGTCTCCACTGAGGACGTGTCTGTAACCCTCTAAAGAGCCCTACACGCTCCCATTTTCTAGTTAGGTTCCACTCGGGTGGGACTTCACCGCAACCACCTTTCCCCTCGGGTCCTCCACAGTCGCCGACGCTCTAGGTGACCGTCTCGTAGGCGGGCCGGGTCTGCGTCTCTCTAGCCCGCTCATCCTCTCTATGGTCCGTGCGCGGCTTCCGGTGGCGGGCCGCGGGGCCGCGCACGCGGG